TCGTTCAAATCTGCATTCAAAATCCAGGACAGTTTGTCAAGTCTCTAGGTGTTTTATTTCAACAGTCAGTCATCATGCCAAGTGCTGGAATCCTACCTTCTCTCAAGATGAGACCTCCGGTTCAAGTTCCTTCACCCTCTGCAGCTGCGCATTCTCTGTCATCTCACCTTTCTCATCGTGATGAGGTTCGTACTATCTTCATTATGGGTCTGCCTGAAGATGTCAAAGAGAGAGAGTTGCAGAATTTTTTGAGATGGCTTCCAGGTTTTGAAGATTCACATTTGAGCTTCAAGGGAGATAAGCCCAAGGGTTTCGCACTCTTCTCAACTGTTAAATTTGCAGTTGCTGCCAAGGATGCCCTTCAGAAAATAGTTTTTGACGCTAAGTTAAAGTCCTTCTTGCACATCGAGATGGCAAGGAAGAATCTTGTTGTTAAAAGAGTAGTTACAGATTCTGATTTTGACAAGTATGGAGGTTTTCCTGTTCCTCCAGTATTGCCATTGCCAATTCCAGCTTCTGTAGCATCTCCTAGTTTTCATGTGTCAGTTAAAGAAGTCTGCTGCGATGAAAAATCTGCAGTAAATGGTGTACACGAGGGATCCAGGAAGTCGATAACAAAGGGGTGCAGAGTTGACAAGTCTGGATGCTTCACGTTATTTGTTGAAAATTTACCAGAGAAGATTCATTGGGAGAGGTTTGGATCTCTTTTTTGCTCTCATGGTCGGGTACTTGATGCTTTTATTCCAAATAAAAGGAATTCAAAAGGAGTTCGCTTTGGTTTTATTCGCTTCGCATCAATCGAAGAAGCAAGGAGAGCAATCTCAAAAATGAATGGCTCTCGTATCGACGACAACAAAATTGGTGTTTCTTTCGCTAAATTCAAACCTCGACATTCCTATTAGAGAAAGTCCTCGACAGGCGTTCTTCGCAAGTCCGGGATGGAAGATGATTCGAGGATGAATCATTATAAAGTTGAAGGTGTTATAGATGAAGAAAAACTTCAGGTGTTGAGCAATTGTCTAGTGGGGTGGTGCAAGGACTTTGTCAAAATTGGTCATCTCGCTAGACAAATGCAAGCGAAGGGCCTCACTGGCTTCACCTGAATGAGAGCTGCTGGTAATGCGATTTTAATGATTTTCGAAGACAATGCTTCACTGAGAAGTGTAAAGAACGATAAATCAAAGATTCTCGCAGAGTGGTTCTCCTTAGTCGAAGCTTGGTCAGAGAGTTTGGTAATGGAGTGTCGTCGAGTATGGTTAGTTTGCGAGGGTGTTCCTTTTCACACATGGAATTGGAATACTTTCAAGAACATTGCTGATAAGTGGGGTTTATTACTAGCTATTGACGAAAGTTGTCATTCTCCATCATCCTTTGATCGGGCCAAAATTCAAGTCCTCACAAAGGTTGATGCGAGAATTGATACGATGGTGGAATTGAAGGTTGGTGACAACTTCTTCAAGGTCATGGTGCATGAGATAGAGCCTTCATTCAAACCAAACTCTTGGGCTCCTGAAGAAGACGAGTCTCATTAGATCTTGTTTCTTCAATTGTGGTTTTGTTTTAGTTCATATGGCTGTAGGTGTTGCTTTTAATTTGCATTATGTTCTGTTGCGCTATTTTATTCCTATTGCTGGTGGTGTAATTAGAAGTAAGGTGATTAGACTGTGGCTTTGTATGAGGTTATATGAGGTTAAGGTGTTTGTTGTAATGGTGTTCATCACCATGAGAGGATATTCCGTGGTGTCTTTTGTATCGGGTATTATTATCAATAAAATTTGAGGTACTCTTTTCTTCCTTCCAATGTTCATTAACATACTTTAAGTATGTGAACGAATAAGAAGGGAGTTTTTAATGAGACCTCCAACTTCTATTAAAAAAAAACTATTTAAAGTTGACTGAAATGACAACCTTATTATCTACTCTGATTCTGGTTTTAGTTCTGATGCATGATTACACATTGAGAAAAACAAATATTAAGCATGTTTCCTATTCTAAAACACATATAAGTTCTCATAAAATACTTTCTCTTGAAATATGTGCACTTGTTTTCTTCTCTGTATTACGGAAGATATGAATGGATTTTTCTTTGTGCTTCTTCAAATGATCTTTACCCTAGTTTGGCCATGAAATGTTAATGTGATGTGGCTGTAATATGGCACTGGCCGTGGTCTGTGACTAAAATGAACTGATATATCCTTTTTTGTTCTGTCCTCTTTAAGTTTATCAAGTTGGTATATCAGAGCATTAATCAATTTGTCGGCCCTATCTATCAACAATGTCTTCCCCATGTGAATGCTAATTTCTCGAGAAGGTTTTAACTTTTAATCATTTGCTTTAGCTTAGCTCCTTATAAACACCTGAGTCCACTGGATGTTTAACGTTGTGAACTACACCCTGTTCTTTATTCAGGTTGGTCTGCCTTTTCTTAACAAGGTGATTAGTAAGCAGAAACTTGCTGCAAAGGGGACATTGTTTGTTGCTTAGTCTCTGTTTTTTCAGTTAACAGATCAAGAACTACAGCAACTTACTCCTTATTTTTATTATTTTAAAATATTATGTTCTGCACATGTTAGACTTAGTGGTTACGTATATAACATTCTGTTAATGCAGGTGGATTATTCGTGTGCACCTGAAGAAGTTCAACAGCATTTCCAATCGTGTGGGACTGTAAATAGGGTTACTATTCGTACAGATAAGTATGGCCAGCCAAAGGGTTATGCATACGTGGAGTTCCTTGAAGCTGAGGCTGTTCAAGAGGCTCTTCTTTTGAATGAATCTGAACTTCATGGCAGGCAGTTGAAGGTAAAGTTTATTGTTTTTTCTCCTCCCCTTCCATCTCTTTTGAGAAGAAAAAGAACACGGTGGCTTCTTTATTTTTTTTGTTTTTTTTTTTCCAGTTTAAAAATATCATCTATTAAACTATTTAAGCATCATGTGCTTTCTCTATATCTTTGTAGGTTACTGCTAAGCGGACCAATATACCCGGGATGAAGCCATATCGTCCACGTCGGTCCAACCCTTTTATGCAACCCAGGGACCCATTTATGGCTCCATATTTCTTTAATCCCTATGGATATGGGTACGCTAGCAGCTGTGTTTCTCATCATAATTCCTATACACACACTTTTGTGCTTTTATTTTCAGTTTTAGCAAACCTGAATAAAGGGTTTTAAACTTCGTTCTATATACTACATTGCAGGAAGGTTCCAAGGTTGAGAATGGCAACGCGATACAACCCCTATTATTAAGTACCATGGACCACAGTAGTAGTTTCAAATACTTTTGATAATGTGGCTAGTTTATGAGGTTTGTTTTTCTTTTTAATTATCAATTTGGTCGATGTGCCAAAACCATGCAAGAATTCTTGTCTGGTTTTATTGGTGTGAATCATGCAAGATCTTGCTCTGTCATGTTGAGCTGCCTGTGCCATTTGCCGTACATGTAACGAATTTTTTTCTTAAAGAATGTGTCAGTTTGTTAGTATGTGTCTAAAGTTCAAATTTGAGCATTTGTATATAATCCCTCACAAGCCATAACCTAAAGCTTTTGTCGGTAAGAAAAATGAAAGATTATTCCCGGTTTGTGGAGGTATTATGATTTTAAGAAAGAGTTTAAAATAACACATTTTTTTATTACAAAAAAAATAAGACATCTGCTAATATTAGGTCTCTGTCTCTCTCATACCCAGCGCCATCTTTCGCCTGGTTTCCAATCTGATGGCCCCTTGTTCGGTCTTGGCGGAAACTAAAAGGTCGTATTGGGTCTAGACCTAAAGGGTATAAGGCCATCTTGGTTATCAAAGCAAGCCAAAAAAATAATAGAGCTAATGTAATCTAAAGACTAGGTTCCCATGCATCGGTTCAGGTTCTGAATAGGGATGATAAGAGATAATTTGTCTTGGGGAAATTAGGGATTTAGAGTTTAAAAAGGGGAAAGTATGGATATAGCAAAAGAGCTCAAAACGACGGTGTTGAGTTTTAAGTGTGCTTCTACCATTGTGCCAACAATCATATTTGGTCGAAGGTTTACAATGTATACTGCTTATAAGTAATGCCAGAAAAAACGAAAACAAAGGAAGGGAATATAAAAGCACATAAACCATTGAAGAAAATCTAATTATCAATATGTAGTTGAATATATATTTTTTTATATATTTGAAAATGTAGTTGATATAAGATTTAAAATAAAAATGAGTTTAAGTGCAATATCGAGATTAGATTAAGTGTGGCTCAATTGGCATAGTTTCTACAAGTTTAAGTACGTGTGCTCGACCAAGAATATCCACCATGAAAGCATAATGATCAACACCTGGAGAAATCCCGAATTTGTCCTCCATGGATGCAAATATTTGACGACCTTGCTCTACCATTCTTGAATGGATACATTCTGTAAGCACTGGCAATAAATGTAACTCTGTTGGACTATGCATCCTCTACTTTCCCTCACTTTGAATACATACATATCAATCAAACCGATCCCACCACAACACAACGAGTGGGACCATCCCCAATTTTTCAACGATTTCCCGAATCCAGTTTTGAGTACGTTGCAGCACCTAGTTGTTCACAGACACAAAAATACTCCCTACCTATGCAATTGTTCGATTCTATAACATTCTATATAATTATCTTAAAGACACACTAACATTCTATATAAATCAAGTCTATTTTAAAAAAATGTTTGTTGATTGAATAATACTTTAATCATTTATAAAAGAATGATTAGGTTTGAGGGAAGTGGATCAAAACTCAATTAAAATTGGAATTTTCCTCTTAGACGTCGTTGCTTACGTTTCTCTCTTGCACCGACCTCCTATTTATTTATATAACGAAAATTGCATTACCCGTTGTTTGATTCCCTATAAATATTGAAACTACTGTTAGAAAACAACAAAATTACTAGTAGTATCAAAATACAATTTGGTGTCTCCCGACTAAAGCAGTCTGCACCCAATACTTTGGCCCATATAAATACTCTCATATGAACATATACTTTACAAGCCAGTTGAATTGAATAGAATAGAGAGATGGGGTGGAAAGGGATTCTGGGTTTTGAGTATGGAATAGTTCAAGCACCATTGGGACCTGATATTGCTGGTCCGGAGCTAGTTGCCGCTGTTGCTAACGCTGGTGGCGTTGGCCTTCTCAGAGCTCCTGATTGGGTATTCAATTTTACTCCTTTATGCTCATACTTTGTTCTTCCTTGCTAAATACTACTACTTTAGAGCTCTTCATTGGATATTGAACTCTAGTATCTACATTTTTATATGTTCATGGTTTGACCTTCCTTGGTAAATATTACTACTTTAGAGCTCTTGATTGGATACTGAAGTGTAGCATGAAACCCTAAAACTTAAGGTTTGTATAGCTTGAAAAAGTAACCATATTAAATGAAGGCAGCTAATGCATGTTTAAGGAGAAAACTTTTATTGTTTTCTTGGTTAAGCTAATATAGTCATCAATTTACAGCATTCAGTCATGATTATTTACTAATAAAGTGCATACTCTTTCTCAATCTTGAACAGCTTTCATGGTAATAAGGAGTTGTCCAAATTATGCAAATTATTTGGTCCAAGTAGATAAATTAAGGTCCTGTTTGGGCTTGTTCTTTCATTCCCACTTCCCAAATAGATTTTTCAGTTCAGGGAAGGACATCAAATATGATTTATTAATTATTTGCTTGTTTTGGTAATTCAGATAGAAAAATGTGTGCTTTTTACTTTCTAAGGTGTTTAAATATGAATACACAATTGGTTTTCCCATGCTTTGGTGTACCAGGAATCACCTGAATATGTAAAGGAGCTGATAAGGAAGACTCGAAAGTTAACCCACAAACCCTTTGGGGTTGGTGTCATTTTGGCATTTCCTCACAAGGAAAATATAAAGGCTATACTTGAAGAAAAGGTAGCAGTTTTGCAATTGTATTGGGGCGAATGCTCAAAGGAGCTTGCAATAGAAGCTCATAATGCTGGGGTCAAGGTTGTTCCCCAAGTGAGTATCATTTGTCCCTCTCTTATTTCATGGGTAAATATGCGTTGTTTGTTATTCTGGATTGTGGAATCCTGAGTCAACCAAAAACAGGCAACAAATATATAATATTACGAACTCTATAAATTAATACTCGATAAATTAATACTCTCTCTAAAATAATAATTTTTTCGGTCCTAAATTAATAATTTCGATAAACTAACAAGATACTATTTTTTTGGAAGACCTTTATATAAATTTATGGTCCTTTCAATATTATAAATTAATAATTCAATAAAATTAAAAATATAATTAAGACAACTTAGTAAAACATTATTATACCTTGACTACCTTTCAAATGAAATTTTTCATCAATTTACTGTTGCAAATCTTTTTGAATGCATGTGGGGTGATCTCTCTTATACTCATATAGTGCTTTACGCAGGGGTGGATGCACTTAGTCCCCTATTATTTCAAAATAAGTGATTAAATATAGTTCAATATATTAAAGGAAGAATAAAAAATTAAAAAAATTGCATACCCATTTTCCTGAAAAACTAAGTATTAATATTTTTGGATCCCTATTTTCAAATCTTTGGATCCACCACTGGATTTACATATTTATATGCAATGGTTGATTTTGGATACCTTTTAGATGTGAAGCCATGGCTGGTTGGTTTTGATTTGGATTGACTAATTAGGAATATTTGATGTTGTTTATATAGTGGTTGATTTCCTTACCATACATGAACTTGCATTAAGTTTTAATTAGTACTACGTGTTATAATGAACTTTGTTTTTTTAAGGGTATGCATTATATTTAATTAGTCACATTGTATATGAACATTATTCAATTAGTTAAAACAATGTATATGTTTTATTCATGAAGAATAATGTAGGTTCGTTGAATCATTTTTTTTTTAATTAATAAATTATTAATTTAATGATTAACTAATATTTCTTCAAATTAATAAAATTGCGTGGTCCCGACATTATTAATTTATAGAGATTTTACTATATATATAGATAGATAGACAGATGGAAAGTTATATGGGAAGGGGATGGGGGCAGGGAAAACTGAGAAGCATTCCCAGTACTCTATGCCACACCATTAAAATTTGAAATTACCATGTGATAGAGCGACTTGGCCTAATTAAGGTGATTCATTGAATGTCTTCATAAACTTTCATATTCATATTGCCTTTTAAGTTCAGCAATAATGTTTTCTTATGGGGTATACAACTGCGTTTATGCTCGTTTGATGAAGAAATAGCATTAGTTTTTGTCTTTTTGGGGTCTCAGAGAGATGTGGTAGGCAGAGATGAGGTTTTACTTTGTTCCGGTAGTTAACTAGCACTCATCATGTAATGGTATGCAAGACTATCATGGGAAAGTTGTGTATTGGAAACAATAATATGCATTCATTTGTGAGGCAAGCATAAGAAATGAACACTAATTTTGGGGGCTCATGTTGACATCAAATTATATGCCGGATGTACTCTGCTTTCTCTTGAGCTAAATGTGACTTCATTGAAGGTTGGGAGTTTTGAGGAAGCGAAAAAAGCAATTAACGTGGGAGTAGATGCAATCATCGTCCAAGGCCGTGAAGCAGGAGGGCATGTAATTGGACAGGTATGAGTATATCTTGAGTTTATCATCTTGCCAGTATATTAATAATTATCTTGGAGAACATTAACAACTGTGTCCCTGTACACTTGATACAATTATATTTTGAAATTAGTAAGACTTTGATCCTTATCTGCATTTCCATTTTCCATAATTATTTTGGTTCTCAGTTGTATAAAACTTGGTAAAAATGACCACTGAAATATATCAAATTCGCATTCCTTGTGATGTTATATTATTTCCAGGATGCTCTCATTTCCTTATTGCCACGAGTAGTTGATCTTGTTGGTGATCGCGATATTTCTGTTATTGCTGCCGGGGCCATTGTAGATGCTCGTGGCTACGTTGCTGCATTGGCTCTTGGTGCTAAAGGCATTTGCATGGGCACAAGGTTAGGACTGTATTAATGTAAAATAATAAGCCCACTAACAGTAATCTGGGCATTTCCGAGACGGGTGTTACTCAGATTTGTTTAAGTGCATATGAAGTTATCACATCTCTGTTTCATTGAATTCGTAATGTTTTGCTTTTTTTTCTGTGTCAAATTCATTTGAACTCCACTTAACGTAAGTCAAGAAGTCATACGTTCATGCTTTAGTCCTAGCCAATGGAATGGGTTGAGTTGATAGTTTCTTGATTTAGGTTGAATCTTGAACATAGGATTGAAAGCCTGAAGCATTTGTGAAGTTTGTTATGTATGTATTTTCCCTCATGTATCGAGTTTTTGCAGGTTTCTCGCAACTCATGAAAGCTATGCTCACTCCACGTACAAGCAGAAACTGATTGAACTTGATAAAACCGAGTACACAGATGTGTTTGGCAGAGCAAGGTGGCCCGGTGCACCACACCGTGTCCTGCAAACACCCTTCTTCTGTGATTGGAAATCCCTTCCTGCTCAAGAAAATGAATCTAATCAGCCTATCATCGGCCGGTCAGTAATACATGGCGTGGTGAGAATCTTAAAGACTACAGATTTTGGAGATAATGTTGCATGATCTCATTTTCAACAATAGAACCGTTTGATCAGTTTAACTCCAATTCATAGGACTTCTGCTTTCAATTTCTAGTTAAATATGACTGAGATGAACTTGTGATAAGCTTCTGTTCATTTGATGATGATGTTGAATAGGAAAGAGAAATTCGACGGTTTGCCGGTACAGTTCCAAATCCGACAACAACAGGTGACATTGAAAGCATGGTGATGTATGCAGGCCAAAGTGTAGGGCTCATCAAGGAAATTATTCCTGCCGCTGAAGTTGTGAAGAGGGTCGTTGAAGGTGCAAAACTTCTCATCCACCAAACATTCAGTCTGGACTCGGTCTAAAATTGATCATGAACTAAGAGTCCAAGTTCATGTGAATGTTGTACCAATGTCGCTGAAGTTATTGCAGCAGCTTAAAGTTGTATCATGTGGACTCTTGACATATATGTAAAATACTAAAATAAGTCTCTGGAAAATAAAATATCATAATAAAAACATAAAAATCATGCTATCATAACCCCATTAATACAGTTCAACAATCTTATCAAAATTTATATAAGAAGACCCATGACATATATAGCTCACCATCTACACAGACCTAGCCTTAATGAACTTGTGAAATATTATGTCTGACAACTTAAAACAATACAACGGTTAGAGAAACGGAAAATTGCAATTTATAACCAAAACTTTTATGTGAAATACATGAATGCTCTCTTATCTCTTACCATTGAAAGTCTTGGTTTTCCCGAGGTTGGCTAGTTCTTCAACAAGCTTCCTCTCTTCATCACTTGGCTATCTTGGGATTTCAACCTGGACCTTCACTAATTGGTACCCCTCATTTTGCCTTTGTTCAGCAACGGCACACCTTTCTTTGCCATGACCAAAGTTGTTCCGGGCTGGACACTGGCAGCGATTTTAAGATCGGCCGATCCATCGACTGTTGGCACCTTCTCTGTTGTCCCCAGGATTGCATCAATGTACGGAATCTTGCATGTATAAAGAATATTAGTGTCATCCCGCTTCAATACAGGGTCTGGAATCACATCGATGACAACGAAAAGATCACCAGGGGCACCCCCTTTCTTTCCGGCATTCCCCTCTGATCTGACTCTCAGCCGACTACCGGAATCAACCCTAGCAGGCACCTTCAGGCTAATTCTTTGATTTTCTTACTCTGCCATCGCCACCACATTTGTTACAAGGAGTGAATGTTTCCCAGTCCCACTACAGGCAAAACAGGTCATCACCTGCTGAAGACACCCAGTGGAGTCCTCGACGATGAGACAACTTGCCCTTGCCCACCACGTGGTGCAAGAATATGTATCAGTCCCCGGCTTTGCACCCGAGCGATCACAGATGGTACATTTGTCAAGCCTGGACACGTCGATCTCTTTTTCCACCACAAAGACAGCTTCCTTGAAAGTCAAGACAAGATTGTAAATTAGATATTCGCCTTCTGCAGCCATATTTCTAACACCTCTATTTCCGATGTCCATGTCAAAGAATGAGCTAAATAGATCGAATGGATTGGTAAAGTCCTACAAGACCTGCACCATAGTGTCTTCTATCTTTATTGTACAAATACCTTGAACAAAAAGTACACACTAAATCCCAAGATCAACCTGGCACCAGATCCAATCACCGATGTTGAAATCAGATTAGTACCTCATAAGCTTGACTAATCTCTTTAAATTTCTGTTCAGCTCCTGCTTCCCTGAAGGCAAAGTAAATATTAGCATAGACTTAAGCAATCGCAGAAAAAAATTCAATAAAAGTAGTCATTTATGTCATGTCATGTCATGTCATGTTAGCACAAGTGCACAACATTCAAAGACTGCAAATTATTCCTTCCTTTTTTTATTACAAACTGCTTTCACAGCATTCTGTTGGTTTGAATGTTTGAGAAGCATTAATCAACAGCCACAATCTTCATAATTGTTACAAAATTTTTATTTTCAACAGGCCTTCTTGTTATCTAATCAAGGCATGACTAGCAACCACTAAATCACATCAATATGATGATTAAGCCTTCAAGTTAGCAAGTGAAATACATGATAAATTAATTATTCTTGCAAATCACTGTGGTTCAAGGTGGAGAATCACAATATGAGAAAGAATCCATTATGTCTTGGCATGAAGACTATGATTAGTTTTATCCCATTGCAGCATAAATGAACGGAAATAAATGGATACCTGGACACAGTGAATAGTTGCAAAAATTAGGAGGAACTTTAACTTGTTCATCAGGATGATAATTCCTGGCAAGCTTGCGATAAGCTGAACACGAAATGAGTATAATCAGTGCAAATAAATAAAAATCAATATTACAAAGGGATACTCTGACATAATTCAGTAAATACGGCACACTAAGCATAGTAATAGAATAAGATTTAGAGTCCAAATCATTGAAGGCAGACAGTTCAAAGTTACAATTAAAGCATTGATCTTAAATCTTTCAATAAGGATGATGGCAGTAAAGCATGCAAGTGTAGATAATGTCATGGGGGAAGGCTTCGATAAACGTAGACCTCAAAACGAAATGTGAAACACCAGCCGTCATATGCAAACCATGCCAAGTGAAAAATAAGCTTATAAGATACAATACTGAAGTGAAGAACAATCAGAGAAGTTTATTCACTGCTTTTTTATGTCTGATTTGCTGGCATTTTTGGACACTCCAAGGATGGAATAATAATCCTGCAGGTACGAATTTTTGAAAAATAATAAAACATGCAGTTAGGGAACAAATACCAGAAAGAAGAGCAAAAGAACCAGAGAAGAAATATTACAAAACCATAGTTGCTACTAATCCATCCTTAGAAGGTAAAAGGCAAATTAGAAAACACTCACCCGAGCAGCTTTGACAATCAGATGCCTTGCCAAGTGGTGACATGGAGTTTAGGTGACCATGAATTAAATAACACCTGTGCCATATTTTGAGAAAAAATGCTTGAACTTGCAAATGCTAAGCCCCGTATCTCAGTTGAAACACTGCATAAGTACATAAACACAACGCATAATTGTTGCTCTAAAGGAACGACAACATATTTTCCACAACCTAAAAGCTGCACCAACCTAATGATGATTTAAAATTTTAGCCTACTAAATGGGACATTGTTAGTAATGCTACTAATGCAAATAGTGGGACTAAACTCGGGGAGTGGGTAGCCCATATCTAAGTAGTGGCTGGAGCTAGTAGTTGTCATTTGACAATTCCAATAAAGGGATAGGCTCTCTTATTGGAAAACAGTTTTTGATGGTTCTTCCTTTCCTTGAAATATTTTGTTCAAGAAAGTAACATAAGCGGGTTTAACTTCCTCACTTCGGGTATATGAAGTTTAGAAGGCGGTTAATCACGGATTTAAATTGCGGTTAGTTTTCGATTGTGCTGTGTTTGTTACGAATGTGGACATAACGGGTGTTATTGCAGATATCATGATCATACAATAAAGGTTTTGGACGACACTGCTACCACCTCTATTCCAATAGCCAACCAACAACATCCACTTTTGAAATTATACCAACTCCGATAAAATTGCTTACAAACAAAGTAAATCCTTTGTTTTCATTTATTCACTAGTCAATACAAACGTTTTGTTTTGCAGCAGTTTTATTTCCTAAGAGCCATTTATTAAAAGAACTTAGCATATACAAGTCAACCGATTCTTAAACCTCCGTGGAGAAATTCTCACCGCACTTGAGGTATCCGCAACTTTTCGGTATTCGAGCTTGACATAAATTGAGGACGATATGTCACTGCGTTGCCACAAGGAATAGTCGTTGCCATGTGAAACTCTGTATCAAAGAATCAAGATTTATTATCATAGAAAACAAGCAATAAAATATAAATGATCACAGCTTAACTCGTAGCAAAGAGAACTAAGAGAATCCCAACAAAAACTTGAACTTGTTTATATGAGAGAAGGTACAGATTAGAAGTCTGGTCTTTTAATATCAAATGAAGTAATTACCTGAAACTACTATGTATCATGTATGGGTCTTCTTCTCAAGATATGGGGCTATGGGTTCTCTGTTTTTAGTGAATAATGAAGGGCGTGAGGCGAGTTTCGTGGCTTTGGGACAGACGGGTGGTGTAGGGAAACGTTTGGAAGCAGAGCAATGCTCTGCTTTTTGAATACACTCACATTGCTATTTAGTGCAAGAAATGAAATAAAGGCTCTCCGACACCAACCTGCGGAAGACATTAGTGTTTTCTAGAAACTTTTCACTATATATTTATAAATTAATTAATATTATTATTCAAAATCAGTTTGAGAATGCTTTTAGAGTGATTTTAACCTAAAAATTTGTATGAAAAGTGAATATTGACTTAAATTGAGAATAAAAAATAATACTTTTAAGTTTAAAAAATTCGATTGGAGAAATATTTACAAACGGAACTCATTAGTGAAATTGAAAGTTTATTTTCATTTTAAAGGAATGTTATATAATACATTAATTATTAAATGTAAATGTTTTATTGAAGGGTTGTTTATTATTTCTAGAAATTTTGAGTTTAAGTACCCGCAATTAATAAATAGTTAAGCGTTCATTATTATATGATTGAAAGTTTCAGTGTTTTTATCCAAAAATCACCCTAATAACGAAATATTACATGCCATCACATTTTCTCCATATATAACCGATCTAGCACTATTTCTAACAAAGAGCAATCATAAAATACGCTTTCGCGGGGTTCCGTTCGAGCTGCCACCACGGTGGAAAGGCATGGATCATGAGGCACGCCTTTGAGGGGTCTGTCCGAGCTGACGCCACGTTGGAAGGTGCGGATCATGAAGTGCGCCTTCGCGGGGTTCCATCCGAGCTGGCAAACGGCGCATATCATTATCTGTGTCTTTCATTTAAATCTAAATGTCCATCATAAATATAGCCCAACCATCCGTTCGCCTCCCCCCCCTATAAATACCCCTTCCTTTCAACAGTTACACCACAAACGAAAATATTATATTTCTTCCTTTTATCTATCCTTCTATAAAGTTTTAAGAATGTGTAATTATTATTTTTAGAAGCTAAATTTTTATTATATTATAATCATTTAATAGTTTATCATTTTATTATATTTTATAATAATAATTTTTATTATTTTTGTAGTTATAAAAAGGGTATGTGGATTGATGCGTTTATATGAGAATCATATATCGAGTCATTTTACTGATACGATAATAATTTAAATTCTGTTATTTTATTTATTATGAATTTTATTTAGTTATTTTTGTAGTATTAGCTTATATTTTAATTTGTATACTATTTATTTAATGAGGTGAATGTTCGTATATTAGATGCATTTATTCGTAACGTTAAGTTAGAGATCGAGTTGTGTTTGGCTGTATTTAGTCGTGGTTGGATTCGTTGACATAGAAATATGAAGGGCATTGTATGTAACACCCAAATATCGAGTCAGTGACTAAAGTGTAAGAATTCAAAATTTTGCGGTTTGATTTTGATAAATTGAAATGTTCAAGGATTGATGTGGACTTTT